AGCAGTCTGAAGAATTTTGTTTCTTTAAAATGGTTTAAATGCTATTTCAAGAATGGGCCTCTTGCTCTAAGATGCTGCTGCATCACACCCACCAAATTAACGGAGGTTTGTCTGTGAAGCAGTTTAATAGTCAGTCAAACGATAAACAATCCTGCTTTTTAAAGAAGGTAGTGTCTTCTTAGTAAAAAACATGTCAACACTCAAGTCAGTTCAGTGTTTTCTTTATGGTGGATAGATTTTTTTTTAAAGTATGGACAAAGTATAATTGCTGCCTGTCACATTTTGCTCTCATTATATAATGGGAATTTCTGATTCCATTCTTTTTTAAACTCTTAACTCATTTTTGTGTGATTGTCACTTTATATTACAGGTTCACGCCATTCCACTTCGATCTTCTTGGGTCATGACCTGTGCGTACGCACCTTCAGGGAACTACGTTGCCTGTGGTGGCTTGGACAACATCTGCTCCATTTACAACCTCAAAACTCGCGAGGGAAATGTACGTGTGAGCCGTGAGCTCGCAGGACATACAGGTATAGGACCTTTGGTGTTTCTTAAAATTTTTCCTACCTAAAAGCACAATTTCACGCATGTTGTAGTTTGTTTAATCCCTATCCATCAGTCATTTTAATTACTCAACTTTTCCTCTGATTCTTTTGGATATCAGGATACCTGTCCTGTTGTCGCTTTCTTGATGACAATCAGATTGTTACAAGCTCTGGAGACACCACTTGGTGAGAAAATTGATTATAAAAGCAGAATCTTCTAAGTTATTATTAAATCAGACGTTCCCAAGTGTTTTTATTTATATACATTTATTTTACAGTGCACTTTGGGACATTGAGACCGGCCAGCAGACGACTACGTTTGCAGGTCACACAGGTGATGTGATGAGCCTGTCGCTGGCCCCTGACTCCCGGTTATTCGTCTCTGGTGCTTGCGATGCCTCTGCCAAACTCTGGGATATTCGAGAGGGCATGTGTAGACAGACATTTACTGGTCATGAGTCTGATATTAATGCCATCTGTGTAAGTTGCGCCATCCCTAGTGTTCTCCTGTTACGTAATGTTTATTAATACGTCTTTTATCTATTTTCTTTAGTTTTTCCCTAATGGCAATGCCTTTGCCACGGGCTCTGATGATGCCACCTGCAGGCTGTTTGATCTGCGAGCTGATCAGGAATTAATGGTCTACTCTCATGACAACATCATATGCGGCATTACTTCTGTTGCATTCTCAAAGAGCGGCCGCCTCCTCCTGGCAGGATATGATGACTTTAACTGTAACGTGTGGGACACACTAAAAGCAGATCGCGCTGGTGAGTTGACAGATCATTTAAACTAATCATTACTCATGTAGCTTTGTTTTCTTGTCTTTCAGGCCTTATTTGACATTCATTCTGGTTCTTTTCTTTTAGGTGTGTTGGCTGGACATGACAACCGTGTTAGCTGCCTGGGGGTTACTGACGATGGCATGGCAGTCGCAACAGGTTCCTGGGACAGTTTTCTGAAGATCTGGAATTGAAGCCTGTAGGTTCTGTTTTTTGTTCCTGTATTTAGTCAGCCTTTTAAAATGACCGATAACCGGAGGTTTGGTTTGCATCTGAACCACGCCTTCTTGTTTCTAGATTCCCGGCCATTTTTGTCTTTGCCCAGTAAGCTTTAAAATAATTTCCATCAGAATGGCCTGTTGGCGGGGCCACCCAAAACACGTCAGCTTTGATTCTCCAAACGCCTAAGTATTTGTCTTTGTTTCCTAGATGATTCTTTTAACTCCAAAGTTGACTGGAAGACCATTACAACTTGAGAATGTTCACAGCATCTTCAACACTGTTTAAACTGACTTGGACACCACAAAAACGAAGGGAAACCATTGCCTTTCCTACACAAAGAAGAGCACAATTGTTTATCACCTAGTTAAGAAAGGATCTCCTGTGGTCTCAAATCAGAAACTTGTGCATTCCTTCTTGGACCATTTTATGTTACTTTGAAAGAGAAACAACACTATCATCCCATGCAAACGTGTGCGTCTTGAAAGCAAATGTTGGAGTGTAATTGTACAAATTATTTAACTTTTTTTTTTTTTTTAAAGATTTCTATTCCGATGGTTTGTTATTCTCAATGGCTTTCTCTTTGTCATATTTCTTTAGTGGTTTTAGATTTGTTTGAATTACAGCTTGTCTTTGTAATCCAGGTAAATCATATAAGATGAGAAAAAAACACGCAGAAGTAAAAGCTTGGATCATATTACACGAGCAGCTTTCATAATGTCCATAATGTATTTATATTATAGCTGTTTTTGTTCCATCACAGCTTTTTGCACATTAAGCTTTGCCTCTCAACTAATACTATGTTAACTAACCAAGCACATGCTATATGTTATGAATGCTCATTCCAGTAAAAGAAAAAAGAAAAAAAAAAGAGTTGTGAGAAAAATTCTCCAGTTAACCCCCTAATTCTTGCACATGCCTTTCTGCAGGATAGGGTGGGATAGCGAGGTTGTTTGCTGTGATAATAAAGGCATGGCTTGAATTTCCTATATAGAAGGGGTTTATGTTCTGTATCCACTTTGAGTGCAACACCTCACATGACTAAATACACACTTCCTTTGCTTGGGACTGCAGTTACAACTCTGTGAATGAAATGTACAAATCAATGTCTGAAAATAATGAGCAGATGTTTTAAGTTTGAGGCATTTAATTTTGTCTGCCATGAGTTAATTTAGATGTGCATGCTGTAGACTTGCTTTCAATGGTGCAAAAAAATCCTAGATTTTCTTTTGTTACCAAAAAGGAGAGTAACCTGTTTGACTGAGCTAAATAAAAGCCAATTTTTTATATATATTTTTTTTTGGGCGGGGGTGGGTCTCAATCTCTGCATACATCATGTACTAATACTGGTAATGCTATGCACCAGAGTGGGCAAGAATGACGAAAGACGTAAAAATTAACTTCATACTTGGTGTAAATTATGCTTACCAGTTCTATTGATGCCAATTTTGTAATAATTATAGCAATCATTGTGAGAATGTTATCCTCGACACGTCCTCTCTCTCTCCTTTCAATCTTCACTCTCAATAGAACAAAAATGTCCTTGCATACTGTCCATACTAAAAACTTTTGTATTATTTTCTTTTCTTTTGGTCTTAAATAGAAAATCTAAGCATCTGAATTACAGCATTTTACTGTATACAGAAGCACTTTTAAGGTTGTGAGATAGTTTCACTTTTTTTTTCCTGCAATGATGTACAATAAATGTGATGTATTTGTGTGTGGCCACAAGTGAAAATGCAATTCAACTGAGATGGATTCCCTTTTTCTCTTTCCATTAATATTATAGAGCTCTGCACCCTTATGTACCTTTCCACTTTTTGTATTTCATTTCGGTCTGTTGGTGTTCCACGGTGAGCTGGATGCAAGGTAGATACTGTACTAAATTGTACTGTTATTGATTGAAAAATGTAATAAAAAGCTGTTTGAGATCTCTTTTGGTTGTGCTGAATGAAAGCTTTGAATTTGTTTATTTTGGTGCCAGAAGGAATACTTTTTATTTATTTTTTCATTATTTTTGTTTTTATTTGTTGGTTCTTAGACTTTTCCCTCCTTTTCAGCTAAAGCTAAATGGAAAAGTTACCAGCAATGCCAGATAAACGTTTTAGTTCATAAAAGAGGCATGTTAAGTGAATACGGTCAAATTTGCACTATTACTATGGAGTTCATTTGTCTTAAACTTTGCACTAATTTTCTTGCATATTTTGGAAAATAAGATAAAACTGGTTAAGTTTTACATACTCAATTTTTACTTGTTATTGATACATATTTTAAACAAAACCCTTAAAATTAAAATAACTACCACAACATATATTGGTAATTGCAGTGTTCAACAAAAATTATATATATTTTAAAAACAGTTTTATGTGTTAACGCAAATGTTTAGTCAGACAAGACCTCTGTATTGACAAAAACCTTCAAATGTCCAAATTAGGCAGTGCTTAAGAAAGAAAGTACCTTTATATACAAGCTTGTGGTTTAAATTAATAAACTGTTGCTGTGCCATCTTCCCGTAAGCTGCCTTTGTGGCCGAAATAAACCTTGTCTCAACTACTCGCCAAAAAGAGGGAGGTCTTAAATAAAATACAAATATAATTAAAGTATTGTTCACCACCTTGTGACCAATGCCGTGCTTGAACACAGCTAAAACAACTTTATTGTAGTAGTTTATTAGGTCGCCATTGAATAATTATTTTATTTTTTCTTGTATCTGAGACAAGTTTCGGACTTGTGCCCCCATTAATGTGAAATGGTACGGTCCTGACAAATGACGTAGTCCCTTCTTCACCCAGATGCCATTTTGGCAGGCCTTGCATGGTTGCTGTTTTTGCCTCGTGGAAAAATATGAATTCAAGCTAAAGGTTTGATTGTTGTTTTTTTGCGGGACGACACATACCATTTGTTAAAGTTAGAAGACGTGCTTTTTTTGCTTAAAACTGAGGATTTTGTTAGTTCGTGTTTGTTACCGGGGAGTCTTTAGCAGTCCAAGGAGCACATTGGAGCTGTTGTCCTAAGTTGACGACACTGCTCAACATCCCAGCGAACAAAGAAACCGTAAAATTTTATTTACGCCCGGTAAGAATTAATATTGCTGTTTGGTACGGAAATTGAGTCAAAACCAACAGTGTAATTTTTGAACGATACTTTTAGTTTGAATTTCTTTTCTAAAAATCGCAACATCGACTAAGTGTGAGCTATCTGCGGTTCTTGATTTAACCCGAAAGAGAAGTTGTATTTTTTTGCAAGAGGATGGCGGAAGTGTATATTCGAGTTGCAGAGGAGGAAAATGAAGAGCCCATGGAGATCCCGTCTGAGGATGACGGAACAGTTTTGCTCTCAACAGTAGCGGCTCAGTTTCCTGGCGCGTGCGGCCTGCGCTTCAGGAGTCCCGTATCTCAGTGCATGCGCGGAGTTCGTCTCGTGGAAGGGATCCTGCACGCGCCAGAGAACGGATGGGGTAACATCGTCTTTGTGGTGAACTATCCAAAAGGTAGAGTTTGAAGCATTTCTTATATTGAGTTTGAAATTTGACACCCTTCTTTAGTTTGTGACCAGGTGGAATCTTATATATAATTCATAATCTAGACTCGGCTCTCTGGTAACCGAGGTTTTTAGTCCACGCCCTCAAACGTGGGATTGGGTGGCTGAAACCATTATAACATGGCATAATGGACGATTTCAAGGCTAGCTGCAATAAAATTTATATAAACATGTTTAATAATATACTCCCTAATATCTAGATAACAATTGCAAAATTATATGGTTGGGTTATTTTCTTTTTATTTTTATTTTCAGACAACAAAAGGAAAATGGATGAAATTGATGCCTCATCTGCTGTGAAGATGAAACGGGGGGATATGAAGACATCTGACTTGATTGTTTTGGGTCTTCCTTGGAAAACATCTGAGCAGGACCTGAAAGACTACTTCAGCACGTTTGGAGAAGTCATTATGGTTCAGGTACAACTTAGACCAAGTTAATAAGGAAAAATGATTATTTAGTACGTACTGACTTTTGTACGTTTACCTCTGATATTTTTGTCTCAGGTTAAGCGAGATGCTAAAACTGGGAACTCTAAAGGATTTGGCTTTGTGAGGTTCACCGAGTATGAATCTCAAGAAAAAGTGATCTCCCAGCGTCATATGATTGACGGACGGTGGTGTGACTGCAAGCTTCCTAACTCGAAGGTGAATATGGTAATGTCTATGAATTCAACACTTGTGTAGAATATATTAACTTGCTTTAATGCTCCTTATTGTCCCTGTTTTTGTTCACAGCAGGGCCCCGACGAGCCACTCAGAAGCAGAAAAGTGTTTGTAGGACGTTGCACAGAAGACATGACCACAGATGACCTGAGACAGTTCTTTATGCAGTATGGAGAAGTCACAGACGTCTTCATCCCTAAGCCATTCCGTGCTTTTGCTTTTGTCACCTTTGGCGATGATCAGGTCCCACATTAAAACGTTGTTGATTTGGTGTTGTCCATTCCCAGATGCCATAATCTTATGTTTTTTCTCATGACAGGTTGCCCAGTCTCTCTGTGGAGAAGACCTTATTATCAAAGGAGTCAGTGTTCACATCTCAAACGCTGAGCCCAAACATGGAAATAGGCAGTATGATCGTACAACACGGTTTGGAAATGGTTTTGGAGCTCAAGCGTTTAGTGGCAGCCGCAGCGGGTTAGGGAGCAGCTCTAACAGTAGCCTGGCTAATTTTGGTTCCTTCAGTCTGAACCCTGCCATGATGGCTGCTGCTCAGGCTGCTCTTCAGAGTAGTTGGGGGATGATGGGTATGCTGGCAAACCAGCAACAGACCTCCACCTCAGGCACCACCTCTAGCGGTACAAGTTCTAGTAGGGACCAGGGTCAGTCTTTCAGTACAGGCAACAGTAACTACGGAACCAGCTCAGCCAGTCTTGGCTGGGGTACGGGGTCAAACTCTACAACTGGTACTAGTGGCTTTAGCTCAGGGTTTGGGTCCAGCATGGAGTCAAAGTCATCTGGGTGGGGTATGTAAGTTAAGTGTTTCTATGGTAAGTAATGTGAGAAAGATAAGTTTTTAAAAGTTTATTTCTGATGTTAACGTGTGTCTGACAACACTTTTGTGGAAGATGTTTTGTACATTTGGAAAAAAGCTAAAGATTTGGTTTAGGAAGTGAATTGTTTACCAGGCTCTCTGACTAAAAGTGCTATTTTTGCTGTTTGTATCCATTTCAACTGGATTCTCTAATGCATGTATTGTGAAATTTGATGCCCATTTTTTGAAAATGCATGAATTTTAGCGGTTCACCATTATCTGGCTTTTGTCATCAACTTTCAAAGGCAATCTTGCATTGGAAAGAATCTGGTTGAAACCTAAATGTTTTAAGTGCAACTTAATTTGCAGTCAAGTTCTGTGGAAAGGCCTTCATTGAAATCTCTTCTGCAGTTCACCCCTCTTCCATTTCCCTGCGAGGAATCTCCTCTTTGGCAGCGTTCTTGGGGTGATCTCGGTATCATTCTCCCTCTTCCCACGTGTTAATGCTATGCCATCAAAGAACGGCTTCACTCCGCATGTTCTGACAGACGGTGGGTGTTTTCACTTTTATCCACTTTTAAATGGAAAGAACTGCGCAACTGACATTTTAAGAACTGATGAGTGCGATTGAGGATGGCTTGTGAAGAAGAGTGAAGCGATGAGTGAGCGAACGAACGGAGAGACGCGTGAAACGGACTGGTTGTGCGATGAAAGAGCCCAAATTTGACTGCTTTCTGAGTGTGTGAGTGGAAGCTGCAGATACTACAAGCACCTCACCTAACATGGACTTTCCTTAATTAGTACTTCAAGACTTTTCTTTGTTAGTCTTTGCAAGCTTTTCCTTACTATTGAGTATGTCAAGTGCAGAAATAATGTAGTGGAATGTTGTGCTGAATATTTGTATTGCTTATATTATCTGATTTGAATGGTGTGTGCTTTCATGTCCTTGAACTGATCTGTAAGTGTGTACTTGATGTGGATGACATCTGCTGAAGACTCTGGGGAACGTGAGTGATGTGAGAACGTGGAGTGGTGTGTCCAATGGTTCCCAGTAGATTTTGTAGTTTGTGGGGTGTTTAAAAACATGTCAAATGAAGGGAGTTCTCTAATAAAGTTCATTTGAATAGTTAGTTGATATTGCTTGAGTCAGTTTGTCAAATCAAAAACATCTAATTTGATTCACATATCTAGGGACCTTGGGCTCTGCTGGTCGAGGTCTCCGTTTGAACCCTGACTGAAGGATGAAGATGGAAGTCCCAACACTTTCAGTGTGTGGCCTTCTCAGACATGGGGTAGTACCCGTCTTGTTTTTGCTGTTGTCGAAGGCTTGTTAAAACCGATTCTCGATAACCAACTACGTCTATGATTAGCGGTAAGTTTCTGGAAGAGATTCATTCTTTTAGCATAGATAATACAATCATTTAAAAACAAACCATTTCTACACTTAACAAATTAATTATTTTTTTTAGCATTGTGGGTAATTTACCAGGGATTGGGGCACTGCAAGTCATATACTATACTAGAGGATGAGTCAGGAAACTGACTTGGACACAATGAATGTAACATTTACTCAGTTTGAAACATTTAATGTTTTCAGCTCGTTTGGAAAGCATTGTCCGGTGCAAGGTCGTTTCTGTTCAAAACCACTTTGAGGATGAGTCTTAAGCTTCATCCTCTTTAATAACCAACATGAACTTGAGGTGATGGGAGGGTAACAAATCACTTTTCTGTAACAGTATGTGTACAGGGCAGTCCCTATGTTTGTTTGCATGTTGGACACAGGTGAGGCACTGCAGGTTTGCCGGGTGTCATGTCTTCACTCTCTGGTGTCCTCTTCAGTGTTTCTCCTCTTCTTTCCAGTAGTCTTCTTTAAATCATTGTGCTGCAGGGCCAGCTCTTCACTCCTGTTTTGTATGTAGTTGGACTGAAATAAAGAAAAGTTAATTAAATTTTTCTGCTGTGTTTTTTTGTGGATGTTAAAATAAAAGACTATGAATTGACAGTAATCAAACTCACCAGAGCTGCGCTGCGACGAGCTGTAAGTTTTACATCCTCAACAGACACTTTAGTTCTTTTACCATGTCTATGGGCAGATTTAAGATTATTAGATGGTTTCATGTATTTTGTTTCCCTTTGCCACTTTTTTTGGCGAGAAGCAACAAAAAAAGTTGCAAACTAACCCAAAATTGTGTTTGAAAGCGCTCACCTTGCAAAAGCCTCCAGGTCTTTAGCAAATATATCTAGATGGAAGAAATATATTAAACATGTTTCTATAACAGTCATCGTTCAGCTGTTGCAGATGTCACTGAATTCAGAAAAATTACAATCCTGCAAACTAGCCATTTCCTTTAAAACTCAGCAAGGTGGGAAGGTGACTAAATCCTTTGACTTGGGTGTGATGGGGCAAGGATTCAGTTTGTGGAGTAAGGGGGATATTCAAGTGGTGGTTCTTGTTTCTACATTAAAGGAAAACATTGTATACTCAGTTAAGCTGATGCATTTTCAGTTTGCTTATTGGAGAGAAAGGAAAAATTCCACAAGAACACTGGACAAACCTGTCGAGCACTGTTAAATGTATGGTGTAAGCATATTTTACTCTTTAGTTTTAAGTCAAATGTACAATTCTTAATGAATGACAGCATTCAATCATCTGAATTTTTAAAAAGGCACACTGAACATTAGTGTTAACAGAAAATTTGAAGATATCACAATTAACCTTTTTCATTTTTACAAACTTATTTGCTCTAAAATATCTTGAGCCCTAGCTAGTAAACTAAAGAAAAATCTTATCTTAAACTAAATTGTGTGATTTAATCTGACGTTTGTGTTTGTAGCTGCAGACTGTAGAAACACCAGATGTATCTAGATTTATAAATAAAAATAATGTAAAAGGGGTTTTATTCTTGTCAACTCTTTGTGGGTTTTGGTTGAACTAAATCATTTCCATGCTGTGGGTCCGAGAGCGGTGGATGCGTCAGGAACTCACCGCACTGCCTGAACGTGGTCTCGGCTATCGCCGCTACGGCTTGTCGGCTAAACTCCCTCCGATGTTCCTCTCCAATCTTCTGACAGAAACGACCCACGGTATAATGAACTGCTGCTTTCAGCCTCTAAATGTCGAACCATTAAAAAGTTAAAGATGCGTTTCAGTTTTAATTAAGTGTCCTTAGAATTGCTCTTACTTGAGTTTCATCTGCGTCCTCTGTCATTTTTTAAGCGACACAAGATTCGCCTCAACAGCAGCGAGAAGTGTTGAAGATGGTGAAATACCGAACAATTTAAAGCTGACATTCACAAAAATACGGCTATGAAACGAACATTTCGAATCGTTCCGTTAGCTTTATGACGAAGTAGCTTTATGCTGAAAAACAAAAACTCGCGGCACAACCGGCGGAAGTTGTCAATGTTGCCTTTAGATTTACAGCGCCATCGCGGGTTTGGAGAGGTAGTGCAGGAAAACGGGGGGGGGGGGGGGGGGGGGGGGGGTTAAAAGAAAAAAAAATCATGTGGTTTAAAATACATTTAGGTTTCAAATATGAATTTAATATAAGTGTAACATGATCCCCAAGAACAACCCAGAAAAGTTTTATTTTTGTGGAAAGAGGTTCAACAAGAGCAGACAGCAACACCAGCACTGGGAACGGAGTTTCAATAGAACACCAGTTTCCTGTCTCAAGGACAGAACAGTGAATGCGTCCATGAGCTGGGTAGGTGTGAAGACGAGACAATGTTTAGTCTGAGAGCTTATAAACCAGTGTACGAGAACGTGCATTCCCACAACAATTTGACATTGTTGGTTTGGTCAAAATTCCATTAAAGTTTTAGTTTGACACCTTTCCCCCCACCAGTTGAAAGATTTTTGAAGATTCTTTTTACATCAACTCGTGGAAATGTAAATTAAGACGAGAAGAGATTTAACTTTTTATTAGGGATGACAGCTGGAGCAACAGAACATCTCAGCTCATGGGAGGATTAAATGCGTTTGAAAAAGCAACATCACTGGATCCTCTTAAACACTTGCTTGCAGACTTTACCTTCACATTTGAGTTCCTGAAGACACAAAATAGGAAAAAGTTAAAATCAGAAACAAAAAGAAGCAACAAATAAAATGTCAAAATGCATTTTTCTGAATGCTATCCAGTCATTTTACCAGATGGAGCTCATTTCCCTGAACCCAGTGAGTCCAGCCTCTGTTTTTCTTTTCTCCTTTCTGAACACACACCAGCTTATCATTATCCCAGTTCACCACACTCTGGTAGAAAAAGCAAAAATAGTTGATTTTTTACACATTTAGACATGACAGAGCTGCATCGTCTCAGTGACAAATGTCAGACAGCTGAACTAAAATTACCTGACACAACCGGTTATCCATTCCTTTTGTCACCTCCTCGAACTCCTCTCCAATTTTGAACGAACACTCGTAGGTTTTTAAAGTGGTGATGGTTTGGAAATGGAAATTGTCTCCATCTTGCTTAATCACCTTCCGAGGTTTCAGCATAGAGGCAACCTTGCGTGTTGCGAAATCAATGCCTGCGTGACCCAAATATGTAGATACTTATGATTACAAAAGTTTGAATCAGTTAAAACTATTAATTGTTTGACCAAGAAATAAAAACTTACCAAGTGCAACCATGTAAGCATCAAAATTCTCATTGCTGATGATGTCCCACGTGCCGTTGAGGTCAGCAGGCATTTTGCTTGTTTCTCTGTTGAGCTGCAGGAGTGAACAGAAGCAGAGCTGGTGTGGGAGATGTTTTATAGCAGGGCAGGGGTGATGCGACTCTTTGCCCCACTTATTTGGGACAAACGCTGGAGGAGCAGTGGTGGGTGGAGCACAACTTTTCTCAGATGAGGAAACGATCTCTTCCTGATCACTAGTGATGCATGTTTAACTTTGACCAAAAACATGGAGTTGAATTCTGCAGAAGCCTGATAATTACATGTGGATTTGAAGCAGGTGTGCTGAAGCAGGGCAGGGCTGTGCTCCTCCAGGATCAGAGAACCTCTGCAGTCAACATGAAACCTAATCTTTCCCCACAGCTCAGAGCAGCAGAGCTTCTGCACACACTTGCATCAGTATGTTTCTCTACATGCTGGTTTTCATGGCGTATTACAGCAGCAGATGGATTCCACTGAATCAGAGGCTAAAATTGTAAGTGCTTTTATAGATACTGGTGATGAAACTCTTCAATTCACTATGTTTTCTTTCTGTTTTCAGTCAGGTAGTGAATGCAGTGTTCATTGTAGCTGTTCTTGCCCCTCAGCTCTTCGTCATGGGAAGGTAACTGGGATGCAGGTCATGGCGTGAAGCTATGCAGATCACGGGTTACTGGGAGGAAAAGGGAAAGCTTCATTTATGATCGTGTTTGCTTTGATTTAAGGCCAAAATCCTCAAGGTACTGCAGGCAGCCTCTTCTGGAGAACTTGGCAGCCTCCGTTGCCTTGTCAATCATTGCTTCAGGTGAATCCTGTTGGATTTTTGTATAAATTCCCAAATCGGAACATTTAACACCAACATTTTGTCTTTTTTTCAAGGATTTTCTGTGACATTCACACTGCTAGATCCAGTTCCTCAGAGCCTTTGGGCTGCATATTATGTGTTTGGGTTAATGTCATGTGGACATGGACTGTGTACGTCCATCCTGACTCTCACAGCTGCTTCATGTGTAAGAAGAAGAAAAATATTGAGGAATATGGAAAGCAAGGTGCAGCACCACTGATTTGCATAAATATTCGCAGGCCAAAACCACTCCGGAGCTTTACTACACTTCTGTGACCCTGACAGCCGTCTCCACTATCAGTACAGGTGGGAGACATGTCTCACCAGCAGACGCTCACAAAGGCAATCGTAACGTCTGACCCTGTCTGTCCAGGTTTTTTCATGGTGAGAGGAGGACTGTGGCTTGCTAAAAGGCAGTCGATGACTAGGACAAGCAGAAGCAACGAGTGATGAAACGCTCCAGCTGCCGCCGACACGCTGACATGTGATCCTGCACACTTAAAGAATTCATGAGGGCTTCTGCAGCTGGTAACTTTAAACCATGAACCAAAAAAAAAAAAAGTGCAAGTGGCTTAATCCACCAAAAGTTTTAATGCTTCCTGCCGAGAAGCAGATGTTGTAGTTAGAAATGTTAACGGCATGTTTTACAGAACAAAATAACAAAGTAAGCTAGTACAAATATAGTTTACACACTAGGACAAAGCGGAAGTCAAACATTTTAAATGAGTTTTCATTAATGTGCTCATTTGTTAGTTCATAACTAGTATTTTGAAGCTTTATTCTAACTTGTTTACATGATTTAACCAGATTTTTTTTTACTTTATAAAGATTTGCATGAATTTCCTGACGAATGCTGAATTTTAACCTGTTGCGAGAATCTCTAGTTCTCTAAAGTTTGATGTTTAAATTTGACTTGCATTGCATTATTTATCAGCAGTGTGTTAATGTTTAGCCCCCAAATTATGAAAAGAAATAGTTTTAGAATTTGACTTATAGTCAGAAATGTGAGCTAATATTGGATTTCTCTTCAGCTGTGGAGATGCAGCGTCTGATCAGTAAATCTATAATAAAGAGCTAAACGTTTTTGTTTGATGTTCCTGAAACCAGCAAATGGACTGGTTTTATGTAAATATAGTAAAAAGTGATGTTTCCTAGGATGAACTCTTGACATGAGACGTTCATGGACATTCGGGGACTTTTCTAAACCAAATAACTTCATACAAAGTGAGATGTAACTGCATGAAAAAAGCCCCAGAAATCAGAGAGCAAAGGCAAAACCTCAAGTGTAATTTATTGCCTTTTAGAACAAAAGAAACAAACTAAATTTATAATAATTAAAAAAAAACTATTTAGCTAATGTGCATTTCTTCATTTCTGATCATTCTTTAGCTGTATTTTTAAAACGTACACAAATAAACGTGGTAGCTTTAATACATGACATGAGACTTTACATGACATGAGACTTTAAAGTAAAAAACCTCAGTTTGATAAGTGGCACACTTTAAATTTAAGATTTTAACTCCGGTGTGTCTGTTTCAGCATAGAGGATTCAGCCAAAGTAGACGTTAGCTTCAGATGGCAAGCTTTGGAATCTTACTCTCTGATATTTGGCCATTTCGCCTCTGATTTAAATTGATAAATTTTAAAAAGCCTTCAGGTTGCATTTATTAAATGTTCTTAAAGGATCATCGCTGTATAAAGTCACTGATTTGGTTTTTTTTAAATAAAAAAAAACCATGTACATTTTTCTTATTTTTAGTAAAATATCCATTTCTGGAGCACCTTTGGTCCTTCTCAGCTAACAGAATAATGTTTCTGTCACTGCTGTGAAGACACCAACCCATCCATTTCTGATTATACATAACTGCATCTGTAATTAAACCTGAGAAGTCATTCATATAAACAAACATCCTATGTTTGTTGGAACTGGCCTTTAGAACCAGGTTCAATGAAAAAACGCTGCAAATTTTGTAAACTGCAGACGTGTCAGCTTCATATGCAAGTGCTGGTCATAAAATTAGAATATCAGGACAACGCTGATGTATTTCAGTAGTTCCATTCAAAAAGTGAAACTTGTATATTAGATTCATTCATTACACACAGACTGATACATTTCAAATGTTTATTTCTTTTGATTATAACTATTAATGAAAATCCCAAATTCAGTATTTTAGAATATTGTGAAAAGGTGAGCCCTGGTGCCACACTCTAATCAGCTTATTAACTCAAAACACCAGCAAAAACCATTAAATGGTCTCCGTCTAGCTTTGTAGGCTACACAGCCATGGAGAAAGCTGCTGACTTGAGTTGTCCAAAAGACGACCATCGACACCTTGCACAAGGAGGACAAGACACAGCAGGTCATTGCTAAAGAGGCTGGCTGTTCATAGGGCTCTGAGTCCAAGCGATTTTAATAGAGGGACAAAGCGAGATTCACAAAGTAAATGGCCTGTATTTGTACAGCAAAAACCACTGGTGGTGATAAGCTACAATGTAGTTACAGCTGCCCTGGGACGCACTGGCAGAAGCGAGGCCTGCTGAGCACGGGTACCACCGGTCCCTCTGACCACCACCAGCAGGTAAGGCAGGTTTAAGTGTCTTCCCCAAAGACGCAACAGCAGCATTCTCTGGTTGTGGCTGGGATAGAACCTGCAACCTTCTGATTACTGGACAACCAGCAACCTACCTCCTGAGCTCCTGCTGTCCCCACAAAGACTGGACTGCAGCTAGAGTTTGTGCTTCAAGAACCACCACGCACAGACATATGCAAGACCTGGTTTCAGCTGTTGCATTCCTTGTGTCAGGCCACTCTTGAACAAGAGGCAGCGTCAGAAGTGTCTCGCCTGGGTTACAGACAAAAAGGACTGTGCTGCTGCTGAATGGTCCAAAGTTATGATCTCTGATAAAAGTAATTTTTGCATTTTCTTTGGAAATCAAGGTCCCAGAGTCTGGAGGAAGAGAGGAGAGGCACAGAATCCATGTTGCTTGAGATCCATTGTAAAGTTTCCAGTCAGTGATGGTTTGGGGCGTCATGTCATCTGCTGGTGTTGGTCCATTGTGTTCTCTGAGGTCAAAGGTCAACGCAGCCATCTACCAGGAAGTTCTAGAGCACTTAATGCTTCCTGCTGCTGACCAAATTTATGGAGATGCAGGTTTAATTAGGACTTGGCACCTGCACACGGAGCCAAAGCTACCAGTACTTGCTTTAAGGACCATAGTATGCCTGTTCTTGATTGGCCAGAGCTTAATCCTATAAAAAATCTACAGGGTATTGTGAAGAGGAAAGAAATAAAATTATCTTTTATATAGCACCTCTCAAGATAAAAATCACGAGGTGCTTCACAAGAACAAAAAAATTCAAAAGACAAAAAAAGATTTAAAAAGTAAGATGTAATAGGCAAGGATGATGCAATGGCCAGACCCAACAACTCTGAAGAGCTGAAGGCCACAATCAGAGCACCATGGGCTCTCATAACTCCAGAGCAGAACCACAGACTGATAGACTCCATGCCACGCTGCATTGCTGCAGTAATCCAGGCCAAAGGATCCCCAACTTAATACTGAGTGCTGTGCATGCTCATACTTTTCAGTTTTCAAAAATTCCTTATTTGCATTGGTCTTAATTGATAATCTAATATTCTGAGATACTGAATTTGGGATTTTCATTAGTTGTCAGTTATAATCATCAAAATTAAAGAAATATGCATTTCAAATATATCAGTCTGTGTGTAATGAATGAATCTAACATACAAGTTTCACTTTTTGAACGGAATTACTGAAATACATCAACTTTGTTAAGATATTCTAATTATATGACCAGCACCTGTTTATGCTTCACTCATCTCACACTCACTACACTTATTATTTTAAAAACGATCTGCATTCATGTAAAATATTCAAGATAGTTTTAATCTATGAACTACAAATCATTAACACTCTGAATAAATGGGTATAGGTTCTGATGTGACCTTCTTTAATGATTTAGCTGAATAAATTAAATTCAACCTAAAAGGAATAAAATAAAAATGATCTTAAAGAAGAGAAATAAAATAAAGTGGAACTGATTTGTAGTCATTAGGTTAAAACATTCAAAACTGGTCTTTTCTGCACTGGTTCACATTGTTTTTCACCATCCAGTGATCCAAAGCAGCTATAAGGTCTGATTGAAACCGTAAATATATAACCCCCCACCACTACACACACACGCGCTATCCTAAAAGGGCATCATAGTCGATATACCAAACGAGCCTGCCATTGGCAGGTTTCACTCCGATGACGGGGTATTTGTCCGACTTGTCCTTCACTCGGCTCAGCTGGGTGATCAGCTCGTGTTTGCCTTTACCCATCACTAACAGCGCCACCCTACGTGCTCGGTTAATGGCGCTGAACGTCAGACTCATGCGCTGATGAGGCTTGGCGGGGCTCTCTGTGAGCACCACCAGACTCTCCCCAAATTCCTCCGGTTTGCTGCCGGGGAACAGAGAGGCCGTGTGTCCGTCGTGTCCGACTCCCAGCAGCACGAAGTGAAAGCTGGAGCCGTTCACCAATTTGTTGAGCTCGTTCTCGTACAGCAGCGCTCCTCCGTCCTCCTCCACACAGAGGCGCTCGTTGAGCTGCACCGGCATGGGGTGGATGTTGTAGTAGGGTATCCTGACGTGCTGCAGGAGGTGTTGGTGCAGAGTGTAGAAGTTGGATTCCAGTTCCGTCTGTGGCACGCAGCGCTCGTCCACCATCCACAAGTGGGTGTCCCTCCAGGGGAAGGAGAAGTGGTGCAGAGCCAGACGATGGAACAGAGCCAGAGGAGTTGAACCTCCGGAGAGGGCCAGGTGGAAAACGCCGCCCTCGTTCACCGCCGCCTCTGCTGCTTCCTGCATGTCCGCAGCTAGCCTCTCTACCAGCTCCTCGCTCCAGGCAGACACCATGTCAGAATTGCGAAATTTGCCCTGCATCACCTGAAAACCGTTCACCGTATTACCTCCGACCTGATCGGGGCTGATAATCACCACCTCACTGCTGAAGAGGATTTCTTTCCCCTTCAGATGGACGTCCAGCATGTCTCCGTTGTCCACGCCGCCAGGATAGATCCGGGGAAAGGAGCTGGTCAGGCTGCTGAGGAGCGGTGTCCATAAAACCCAGGAGGCCAGCAGGTTCTCCGTACTGATGAAGTTATTCTTTCGTCCAGCAAAGATGTGAGAGATGAGTTCTGCATAGGCTTCCTTCTGCTTTACCGGAGTTTGAACATAGTAGTCTGAACTCTGCAAACCTAAAACGCTGACATCATTGTGCTCAGTCACTTCCTTCCACCCCTGGTCCGTCACTGCTGGCTGGAACAAGTTCTTACTCACAAGAACTGCTGGGTACTGAAGACTACCATGGCCAAAGTAGAAAACTATCTGTTTGGGTTTGCAGTGGACAGTGTTGTGGTTTTGAAGACAAAAGACATCGTTCTTAAAAAGTATGCGAGCGTATCCCACTCGTTCGTCTAACATCTTCCCTGAGATCAAAAGAATAGGCACACCTTCATACCGGGCCTCGTCGACGTGGGCCAGAACCGCTGCAACACAATCACATCAAAGCATCGTAATTAATTCTTCTAGAGATAAACAACAACAAAAAGCGTAGAAAATGAAAGAGCGCTGCTTTCACCTGCAAATGTTGGTGTCAGGCTGGCGTGGTTGGTTTTATTAAGCTCCTGTTGCACCTCGGTTTGGTAGGCTTGGTACTGTCCAACCACAGCTTGGTTCTTTCCTAAAGGCAGCATGGAGCTGAGGAGCTGCAGCTTGTTTCTATGAACTTCTTCACTGTTGCTCACATTTGCAGGTAGCTTCATTGTCAGCAGGGTCATGACCTCAGTCAGGTGATTCTGTAGAACATCTCTGATCACACCGTACTCATTGTAGAAGGCAATACGACCTGAGAGGGTACATGAACACAAGTTTCTGGCTAATCTCGTAGAAGCAGGAAGACTTTTTTATTCTAAGTCATTAGTAAATGGCCTGTGTGTGTATGGCGCCTTCCTAGGGTTCTTCAACCCTCCAAAGCGCTTCACAACACAATCAGTCTTCCACCTATTCACGCACACGTTCACACCAAGCCCCCACAATGCGGCTCAAAAATTGAGGCCAACCCGGAAGTACCAAAATTGCAGTTCCACCCTCATCCACTAGGGGGCTGGTGTCAGAAGCGAGCAAATCCTCATTGACTCCCATGTTAAAAACACCAATTTCACAGCAGAAATAAACATGTTTACAGCCTGGTACCAAAACATGTTTTTGGTTTAAATTATCTAGTTTACACTCATGACAACTCTGAGGGGGGTGCATTTTTTTCTCACTCTTCTGTTTAAGTGTATTAAAAGCCTAAAATTCTGTATAATTAATGAGCATCAGACCCACGTGACCACAGAGCTAGCTCCATGGAAAGGCCTCAGTAGAGCCTCGGTCTGGCCTGGAAACTGTTCCGGGATTTTGAGTCTCTGTGTTTGTGTATTCGTTTTTGGATTTTATTTGTGCAATTGTTGGACAAAATGACTTGCTGTGGCATTAATTGCACTAATAGAGCGTCCAAGGAGTCGCCACTTCATTTTTTTCGGTAAGTAAAATTATATTTATGTATTTTAGGTCACTGCCGAGCTGAGCTTAGCTTTTAACATGTACTGTTTAACCATGAAATTTAAATGTAATAGGGTAAAACCCAGTGCATTTAACATAATGCTGCACTTTAGAAAATGGGTTGAAATATAACATGTTGGTGGAGCTGGGTTCCGACTATCGGCTTGTGGAGCTCTCGGGAGACCGATGTTTTCCACCCATTCTCGTCTCCCCGCAGCTCGGCGCATCTCTGTCTGATCGCGGCTTCTGTGTGCTGCGCGGGCTGCCGGCTTGTGGAGCTCTGGGATGGAAACCTTTCCACCCGGTTTTACCCAGCGGTCAGCCCAGCGTATCTCTGACTCAGAAGCTCTGGTGTTGTGCACAGTTAACTTCGGTTGTAGCTAGGTTGCTACCTCTGTTAGTTTAGCTCCCACCTCCGCGTTGGCTTTAGGTAAGCTTCAGGTTAGCTTGTAGCTAGTTCGACCGGGTGACGTCAGTTGATCCCAGCCTTACAGCCCCACCCTCAGCTCCACCTCTCTTCCCTTTTGTGGAATTGTCTGGGCTTGACGGAACCTGTGACACGGTCAAAATGGCGGTGGTGGCCACCTCCCATTTTAGTAAAAAAACGTGTTATTGGAGCCAGTGGAAATGAATTGTCCAGTATATATGTCGATGGTTCACACAGTGGTGGTGATGAGCTACAATGTAGCTACAGCTATGAATGTGTAAGTAGAGCCAGCTCAGATCAAACCCGTATTTACCTTTAACATCCAGCGTTTCTTTCAAAACAATCTCTATTCTTTGGATGTGGTGCCTGTTCCAGATGGGATCCAAGTGTTTTCTGTTCTCTCTCCTGAATGGAAGGATCTTTGACACAACCTGTCATAAAGTAAAAATATGAAATTACACCTCAAAGCTGTGAAAAACACTGTGCAGATTATTAAACTGGCTGTACCTGCTTTCCCAGGTAGTGGTCAATCCTGTACATTTCCTCCTCGTTCAGGGAGTTCCTCAGTTGAGTTGCCAGCACTTGGGCACTCCTGTAGTCATGTCCAAACGGTTTTTCAAGCACAACTCTCAGCCACGGCCCACCGGTCGGTCTGCAAGTGCTGTTGATCTTCTCAGCAATGTCCGCATATGCAAAAGCAGGAACTGAGAGGTAAAAGAGCCTCCCTGCTTCCGTCATTCCCTCCTGGTGAAGCTGCTCCTCTATGTGCCTGGCCAAGTCCTGGTAGTCCTCTGTGGTTTTCAGCTGCCGATACTGCGAGAGCCGCAGGAACTGCTCTTTCAGGATGGCACAGAGTTCCTGCGACACGCCCATCGAGCAGTTGACCGCCTTCATGATCTCAAAGAAGACTGGCGTGGCCTTCTCAGCAGGTGACAGTCCTCCACCGTAGAAGGAGAAGGAGTTTCCTCTGCCGACCTGGTTCTCATACAGCTGGAAGAACCCCTGCCACAGGTATTTTCTCGCCAGATCCCCCGTGCCTCCCACCACAACCACCGAAACATGGCCAGATCTCTGTTCCTTTGATGCTTCTTCACCACGTCCTCCACAAAAAGCAACCAGGAGCAGGACGATGGCTATAAGCATCTTTTAGTCTTGACACTCCGAAATCCTACAGGAGCATAATGATTAGACCCCAGGTGAGCAATGAAATCAAATTTCATTAAAAAAAAACAACAACATATTATTAGCTTTAAGTACAGAACGATTGTGGGATTAATATCTATCATGACAGATGAAAGTTCATAATCATTAAATCCGTAACAAATATAAATCAGCAACATCCAGGAAAACACAACTCAATAAAACATATTACAAACAGACACATGCAGATGTTAAAGATCCCAGAAATATTTAAAAAATAACTTCAACTAAAATAACAAACTAACAAGACAGACGACTGATTTAAGCACCGATACTCTGCAAATGCCTTTCCAAAAGTAGACTAGCTCATTTACTCCGTAAGGTCTCTAGCTCTTTAGACTCCCCGACAGGCTGGATTCAGTCTGGAGTGCAGCGATAAATGAACACAGCAGATTGTGGATGTGGACTTCTGCTCTTTGCTCAGGGGCACTGAGCTTCCCGTCTCTGACTCTCACTCTTCTGATAAAATCCCACCCACTTAGATGATTTTGCAAGGAAAGAAAACAATTAATTGAGCAAGCTAAAAAAGTGAATAAATAATATATCGCTTCTTTTTAAAGTCCGATTTAGCCGTCATTACACACTGATGAAATTACATCTTCGCATTCGACCCAACCCCGTGGAGAGCGGTGAGCTGCAACAATGGCATTAAACTAAAGTTAGTATTCACCAAATAATCTATATAATAAAATGAAAAGGTGGAAGACTTTAATATACTCTTTCACCGATTCCAGGTTCTTGGAGTAAACCATAATCAGTTATTTGATGCCATCCTGGATGATTAAATAACCAGTGAGGATTATTTTAATTGCAATGGCCTATTTCACGTTTTTTTTTAAATATCATATTCACCTAAAATATATATATTTCCCACAAACATAATCCAAGGAACACAATCAAAAATGACTAAATGTGTTATTTAATCCCATGTTGTTGTTCATAAAAATAAATGGGGAAGCATGAAGGATGGATGCACATTCAAGAAAACAAATGTAAAAGTTAAATCCAGTTACTTCTTTAAATGTAAAATTATACAGAGCACACCTAACAGCAACCCAGTGAAGCAGCTGTTATGCTAAAACATCTCACGGTCATGTTTGCACAGTAGCAGTGCAAACATAAAAGTCCAAATTTCACTTTTTTTTATCCTGACTTTACATTTATGGAACTTCTGCTTCAAAATTTTGATTCCTTCTCTGTCACAAGCTGTCCTCATTTCTGCAAACTCTAAATCCGGTCATGCTACGTCTGTGCTGCAAATTGATTAATCTGCCTAAATGAACCACAAGGAGGGATTGTATCACTCTCAACAACCTTCTAAACTTTCTTGCTCGTGTGAATCGCTGACTACAGGTTCCAAGTCAGACTACTTCTATAAGAAAGAATTATCTGACAACTGTGCACTTGAGATCTGGAAAAAAGCATCAAATAGATCCTGTCAAGTCCCAAATGAGTCTTTGAGGTCCAATTAGTAACGGACAAGCCCTACAAGGGAACTCCACAAATGGTCAGATGCTTCCCTTATGAATGAGACTGATAAGCCCATTTAGCTCATTTAGCTATAATACACTGTGACTAATAATCAGCCCCCAGCTTACACACTTCCTCATAAATAGTTCTGAAATAGATAACTCTTTACTAAATCACCTTAAAAGGTCAACTTCACTGGAAAACCTTTTTTTTTTAATTATTATTTCAGAGTTTTTCATGCAGGCTGACATGAAAATAGTCTCCCACACCTTAAAAATTTAAAACTTGAAAATCTTGACAGATCTGCATCACACTGTCACTTAGCATTCATGGATTCACCCATCTTGACTCGTGGCGGGGAAGGCTGTTGTTGGTTTAGCGTCCAGGTAAACAGCAGAGAACGCCTCAGCTAGTAGAAGCTAACCGTTAGCATTAGCAACTCCACCACATGGCAGAACTCCTTCAGGCTTGTGTTATTTGTGGAGATAAAATATTAATGTTGCAGAGCAATTGAGTCGGTGGTAGAGTCACATTGCTGTTAGCCAATCTGAGGCGAGATTTCCAAATATCAGGAAATAAGACTCCAAATCCTGCCGTCTGAAGATGTTTTGTCCAACTGCTGACTTCTACGTCCTCTACCACCTCTAAACTCAGGTTTTCTGTAATTTCCTTTCACAAACAAAAGGTTTGCTGCATCTCTTTGTACTTCTTCAGTACAGAGCCATGAGCCAGCCAGAAGGGAGGATACTCCCTAAAGGGAGGGAAAAAATGAATGCAAGTCACGGGGACTATGAAAGTTATTTTCTAATCCCGTTTGATATGTGCCATGGGTTGTGATCTCCGTGAATTTGTAAGACACATTTTGATGCCAAGAAAGTGCTTATTTTCGAACTGTTATTTTATGTTTATGTATTTAGCAGACACTTTTGTCCAAAGTGACTAACAAGTGATAATCAGCATGTTGCCCTTGAGGCTAACAACAACAATAACAACAACAACTTGACATCAATCATGGAGAGGAGGAAACAAGGAGTGGACAGTAGAGGGGGGGGGGGGACGGGTGCAGGGAGGGTGCTAGTTAAGAAGATGGGTTATGTGTGAAAAGCATATAGAATTAGAAATGCCTATCACCATATTTATGTCATTTAACCAGACAAGGAGAAGAAAATCCAGCGAGCATCGAATCTTTATTCCAGGATGACAGGAGTACTAAACGTGGAGAAAACCAAAGCAAACAATCTGGCCATGTGGTAAGTAGGGGTAGACCAATATATGGGGGAAACCCTGTATTAGTGACATTTTAGCATGAAAATAAGACGGAAAATGTTTAAATATCGACAATGAAAAAAACATATTGGCTATCGGCTGACCATGTCTCCTGCATATCAGCATCGGCAATAGAAAAACCATTATCAGCCGACCACTAAGTTTATTTATGCTATGTCCGATTTGTAGTCACTTTATTTACTAATATTTTAGGCTAACAGATCTCAAAGCATGTGAAAGACATAGTCAAAACTTACATCATTTCTTTTAATTTAAATGGAAGTACAACATATGTGTGATTCAGGGTGTAAAGCAAAGCAGATTAGAAAATAGCTTTTATATCTCCATGCACTTGCATTAATTCATTACATGTCTCTTTTAAATCACTCCAGCTGATAGTGGAGAAGACCTTAGCGGCTTTAAACATATGGTTACTTGCACCAGATGGGCTGTTCTGAGTATTTCAGAACCAGCTGTGGTATAGTGATTTTCACCCACAACAACCATCTCTAGGGTTCACAGAGAATGGTCCGACAAAGAGACAAAATGCAATGAGCAGCAGTCAGGATGGTGAAAGCACATCGTTGATGTCAGAGCCAGAGTAGAATGGGCAGACTGGTTTCAGATGAGGCAAGTAGATCAAAACTACTGGTTCCAGACAAAGTCCAGAATAGCATTTCTGGACTACAGCATCTGTATGGACTATAGCAGCAGGAGATCAGACCTGGTCAGCTTAGGCTACAGTTCACACAGGATCACCAGAACTAAGCTATGAGAGGTTCAGAAAGATATTTGTTCCAATCAACTTTGTTTTCAAGCTTGTGCATGGAAGGTCTCTTTGTAGTATATAAACTTGTTAGGCCCCAGTGTTGTGCTTAATTCTGTCACCCCTGAATAAAATCGCTGTCTTCTTTCGTTACTTTGTTAAACACCACCAAAGTTCCCGCGACCGTTTCCGTCTCGAACTGTTTGATTTTTTTCTTTTTAAAAACAAACTAACTCAGACACAAACAACTAGTGTAACTACATCACTGCTGGAAATCATGACATTACATCATCTGCTATCTAGCGAAGGTAACACAATGGGATCTGACGCATCGGTGGACGAATTTTACACAACATTAAACGCATTTTTCATTTGTTTTCTAAAATGCCCATGCAGTTTACACGTCTTTTGTTGTTGTTTATGGTTAAGAAAAAGACCGCAAAATGAAAATCAGACACGTTTACCAAAAATGCCACCTGCTAGTTGTCAAACCTCACTTCCGGTAACAACACACGTTAGCTTAATGTTACGTATGTTCGTGTAGCACAGCCAGCAGCTGTTTGAAGCACGGAATCACAAACACGACAAACTCGTTTCCAATGAATAAAAAATGAATTGGATTACTAACCTGCTGCACCGAGTTGACATCAAAAGACGCTTCCTGTATGAATCACGTGACACAGCCCTCCACGCGGAAGGTGTTGTGAATGAATGTTTGACTCCGATCATCTGTACCCTGCTAATCGACACACGGTCACGGTGTTTGATGCTCGTTTCTGCAGCTTTTTACACTGAAACGTGTTTTCAGCATAGCTTCAGAAACACAAATGGAACTGGGAATTTTTAAAAGCGGGTTAGATTCAAACCATTCAGTCATTTTTTTAAGAACAGGCTCAAGACCCACCTTTTTAGTTTAGCTTTGAACTGATTACTATTTATTGCATTGCTTGTTTTATTTATTTATTTATTTATATTTTAATTACTGTTGTCCTACACATTTATGTTGTTTTATTTCTATAATCACATTTCATTGGATATTTTACTATCCATATTAGCTCCTGTTATTTTACATGTTACGTATTTTTCCAGTGTTTCCTCTGTGGAGCCCTCTGCCTCGGGACCGGTGGTTGGTGGCGGCGGCTGGCGCTCCTTGGGTAGTGCCCAGGTAGTGGTGGCGGAGGTTGCCACCCTCCCTCCCAGTGCGCCCTGGATTGGTGTATTGGCTGCTGCCGTGGATCTGCTGCTGTCAAGGCAGATGGCTCCCTTGATGGCGTGTCTTTCATTACCTGCGTGCGTGCGTGCGTGTGCGCCTGAAAATGGTTTGTGGATTGGGGGTCATACTTGTTTTAAGTGTGGGAAAGGGTGGAAATGTGGGTTGCATGGGTCATTTTAATCTGTTAAGCACTATGTGTTGCTTGCTTTGCATGAAAGTGCTATATAAATAAATAAAGTTTGATTTTTCCTCACAATTGTGAGAATAACACTATTTCATGAGGATACTCATGGGTTTTAAATAAAATCAGCATTCTGAGGTTATTTATCTGAGGCTACATGTTTTGTCTAAAATAATTTCTAGTCAAAGTTAGTATTGTGAAAGGTCCATACAGTCACCTGTGGCTGCAAAGATGCAGGATGCAGACTTCCTAAAATAAAGTAAGAATAAATAATTTATTTACTGATTTCTTAGATGTCAGAGATTATTATTTGCTAAAGCATAGCAAATATTACATGGCTATTTTCTGTCTTTTTTTTTTTTGGACCCGATGTTAAAGTTTTCTATATTTAACACCAGATGACACGGATGTATAGCCCACTAATGTGTGAAAAAAAAAATTCTCTAATCTAATTTTGAGATCAAATCAGTAGGAAATTCTACAATCTTTGGGTCATTTACAAAACTACACTTGAGACAAAATATCTTTAAATAAATGCAAACAAGTTATCTTGAATGGGTTTTGGAATTTTGAGTCTTCTTTGAAGTTTAAATTATTCTGTGTATCCAGTTTGTTTCCATTATGTAATACTTTAATTGATTTGTGCTGGACTTTCCTTTTGGTTAATTAACCCAATCAAAAAAAGTTTCTGCCTCAAAGAAAACTTTTAAACATGTGAAACTGATGTAGTTATGTAAACCCCCTTTAAATTAGAAA